ACGAATTTTGGGAGCCATTTTAACATTGGACTCTATGGAAAAGTTTCATGGAGGAGACTGTGCATTGGTGGCATTTATGAAAGAACCATAACATCCTTTACAATAACAATAACATTGGATGAAAGAGGGCAATGGTGCTGTTATTTTGAGGGTAAAATGATGGTTGTAGACCAAACGCTGTGGACAACGCAGCAGTTTAAAGAGAAGATTTTAAGATAAATTTTTCCCTTGCTCCCACTCAAGCAGTTGACCTGTCTCACTCACATTAACATTCTGTCCCATACACACCCATTCTAAACTCTGAAACGGGTGAAAAAAAGCATGAAACTTAAACTGGACCTGAAGAAAAAGTATAAAAGATATTAAAAAGACAAATACAAGCTGAATAGTTCAATGTTGTGGCTTCATTTTACAGTTTGAATGGTGTCTGTCGGTCAGTGTATGTGGAAGTAGTCAGAGTTAAGAGGAGTAAGTTGAATGAGAATTTGAAGATTCTCCCATTGAAATACATTGTAAATGTTTGTTGAAAATTTAAAAAATATAAAAGTTAAAAATGAGAAAAATACAAGCACACATGTCTAAAAGAAGAGGAATCTAACAGTGGTTGAACAGTGTTGAAGGAGATAGCGTACAAAAAACATAGGTAAGATGAAAAGTGGAAGAACAATACTGTGGATGCTTAATCAGCATCCACACTAAATGAAACAAAAATGGGAGCTGAGAGGAAACAGTAAGGCACACAAAATGTTAATGTAAAAGCCCAGCTGCAACACTTCCGTATGGAAAGAACCTCAAGTCACTTCAGTAAGTTTTTGCTTTGTTCTCCATTTCTTGAAATCTAAATTCTTTAACCTCCTAAGACCCAAACTCCTCTTTGCTATTTGGGCTGATTGGGACATGATGAATGTAAAAACAAAGAATGTTTGTTTAGCATGCTAAAACCAGACCTTGCTGATCTGACATAAGAGCAGAGCACGCTGCATGTTGTAAAGTCCCAGCTTGCTTCCCCTCACCTCTCCAATTACACAAGGGGCAGCTATCTCAAGCTGCCCCTTGTGTAATTAACAGAATCTCAGGAGTCTTTATTAAGAGTGGAAGGATTGTCAGTGCACTGCAAAGCTTGTTCATCTTATCAAGTCTACTCTGTTTCTCAAAACTTTGAATATTTCAATACAACATAGAGCTTACTGTATATGATTATTCAATTTTCTTCGAGGGGAAAAAACGTACTGGGGTTGTTCACTATTCTCATTTTAGCTCAGTATGAGAGTCATTTACAGCTGTGTCAGATCAGTCAAACGTGGCATGCTGTTGCAATGCTGTTGCATGGTCCATGCTCAAAGATGCTAATCAGACACCAATCAGGCACCTGATGATCATTGCCTAGGGTAGCAGAACTTTTTAAAGTGTAAAGTGTTTTACAGTTTGAATAGAAGCCACTCATTAAAGATAATTATACATGTTCCACCAGACATAGTCAAACCTATGACCAACATGTAATGGGAGAATGATTAAAGTAAAGCTAACCTATAAAATGATTTTTCAGCAGTCATTTAAAACAAACTAGAGATTCAGCTGGACTGGCTGGACTGAGGAAGGCTATTTCAGGATATTGGTGCTACAACCCCAAAAGTGTCTTCTGGTTTTAAAATAAGAGGATGGAACAGAGATGTTGATCAGATGATCTGAGGGGCTGTCTGCTGTAATAATGTCTCAGTAGCTCTGCTATATAAACAGGAGTCTGACCATGTAGAGCTTTATATGTTAATAATAGAATTTTAAAGTGACTTCTGAATTTTGCTGGAAGCAAGGTGTGATATGTCCAAAATGATGCCAATGTTCTTGGCATATTCTGATTCTGATATGTTTTGATATTGCTAGTGAGTGAGCTGATGTAATGACTGACCTCTCTGAAGAAGTTGCTACCAAGTTGCTAAGAACCACAGTTTTAGGCCAGAATTGAGATGGAGGGAATTTGAGTGAGGCACTGAATGAGAAAATACTGTTGTTAATATAGTGGCATGGTCAGAGATGTCTTGTAGGACTAAAAAGGAATATTCACCTCTATCCGAGTGTATAAGACTGCCATTAGTAATATTCAGTAATAGAGTTTTAGTGCTGTGGTTTCATCGGTAACCAGAATTTATCAAAGACATTGTTTCTCTTCACCAACTGAAAGAGGTGATGAATGACAACTTTCTCAAGGCTTTTTAAAAAGAATGGCAGTTTGGAAATGGGTCTGCAATTATCTAAAACAATGGGATCTAGGGAGGTTGTTTTTTTGTTTTTTTTTTTTAATGTCAATTGGGCTGGAAGACATGCACATATATGAGACTATTGATAATAGAAAAAGTATGTGTTAATATGGGCACAACAGAAAACTGAAATTTCAATCTGGCATTCAACAGGAAGAAAGCATGGACAGTCTCTTGGGGGCGGGTGGATTTAGTAGGTCAGCAGAGCATATGCTGTGCAACTTTGAGACAAGTGGTGATGGTGGAGCAGCAGTATTAGCATGTTAGTGTGGAAGAGTAAACTGTGGAGGCCAATTACATTAAGCATTTTCTGGTGTTTTATGCTTTCTATATACAGTACACCTGCCAAGGAGAACAGCCCTGATTTAAACATGTTTAGGATGTTAGATATTAACTAAGAGTAACACAATAAGCACCCTATCACTTATGACTATTGAATGGTAGTTGGAGTTTTAATGGTCAATGGCTTTTCTCCATAGAACACCAGGAGGCAGTTGGTACTCGAGGTAGCACATTTTTCACAGGAGTTTCATTTTGATAAGTGTGTTTTTTATGTGGGAGGTAGATTGTAGAGTGTAACAGGATAGCAGTGATTTTTAACATGTAAAAGTAGCATAGTGATATGTGGCTAAACTCTGTGTGCTAAGAACGGGCACATGCGCTATGTTCTTCCATTAGTAGGTAGGTGGGCCCAGAGGTAAGCGTGTGGCTAGGGTTCATGGAAATGATAGATTAAGATGTAAATATGTAGCTATATTTCATATAAGATGTAAATCTTAAAATATTTTTTTATTATTCTAACCTAACACCAGATTTTCCTTATAAGAAAACTATGTTTTGACTCAATACTGCTGATTTCACATATTTTAACTTAGTAGCAGGGTTAGAGAAGGGGTCTCTTGCCTGTGGTTGAAGAACAAAGACGTGGTGGAGGAGGAGGAGGTGGGTCTATGAGACACAAAAGATGAGAGGCCTCCAACAGTACACGCTCGTCTCTTCAGCAGCTGAGCTAATCCACATGCTAGCTGTCTTCATCGTATTCACAGTGGGGGCCATTAAAGTGTCCGGCTGGATGACCATTTATCTATTTAGGTTTGTAGGCTGGTTGGACAGAAGCTGTTGTGCAGACTGTATCTATTCATTTCCCTAAAGCAGGTTTAGGGCAGATTGCCGCTGCACAGTTGCTGGGTTTTGTGTTTATTTTATTACATTTAGTACCAGTCTTCATTAAGGTGTTACAGTGTGCAATAACGGGCACCTCAGGGTATATGTGTGTCCTAAAAGAGGCGGATCATGGTGTCCTGAATACACTGACCAAACGGTTTCTTGGTACATTGCAGGTTTTTGTTTATTTTAATTTTTTTTATGAATTTTTATAGTGCTTTAGATACGTGCTTACCTATAACTGTCAAACAGAGCAAACACCAATATTTATGCCACTGTACAGCAGTCTCATGACAGCAGGTGAGTAACACTACCATTAAGTTTCTTTCTGTCTTCTATATAATTTCCACTCGCAGTTGCTCTGTTTAATTGTAATCTTACATAACTATCTACTGTGTGTTGTTGTTGCTATTATTATTGTTATTATTATTGCTAAAATAATTCACATTATTGATAATATTGCGATTTAATTTTAAAGTCTTCTGTGCAAGTTTGATTGATGATGTTGTGATCATGGCAGAACATTTTTTGTTCTGGCTCGCTGATGGCCGTGTGTGTGTGTGTGTGTGTGTCAATAGCAAGTAAATACACAGTAGTCTCCAATGCTCTGCTTCATACTTGTTTCAATTTGTCGAACTAACAGATGTAAGCCCCCAGCCCCCTTCGCTGCTTCATTGTGTGTGTGTGTGTGTGTGTGTCCTGTTTGTATCTGTAGCCCTACCTCTGCCTTTTCTCTCTTTCTCTTTTTTATCATCTAAGTATGCTTCCCCCTTGCTTTCCCATTTCTCGTCCATTCTCATATTTTCCTCTGTTATCTTTTTCTCATCTGCTCTTTTATTGCATCCAGTCTGCTTGTGTTTCTCCTTCTTCCCCCCCCCCCTCTTTTCCTCCTTTCCTCTCTCCATCTAGCAGTAGTTGTCAGTCAGTCTTTGACAGCTTTCTCTCTCTCCCTGCTCTGTCCTGACGTCACTCTCTGTTTGCATAGCTATTGTCTTACAACGGCTGCAGTAACAGTGGCAGGAGCTTCCTTGCCAGATTTTCTTTTTTCACTCCCTCCTTTTAGCTCTCCTCTCCCCAGGAAAGACTCTCCCTCTCCCCCACAATCTCACGGTCTCTCTCTTCATTAGTAAATCGTACAGTGGAATGAGAAGTGAGAGAGTGATGGAGAGGATAAGGAGGAGGAGGATATAGACTGCAGAAAAGCAGAGATGCAGTAGCTAGCCACAACCACTTCTCCGTGTCTGGATTTGCTGCGGCTGTGAAGGATTTCTGCCAGTTTTTATTTTATGTTTATTTAGTACTTGATTTAATCCTCCAAAAGCCTCCTTTTTTTTGGCAGCTGCACTAGCTGTGTGTGTTTGTGTGTGTTTGGAGGAGGGCTTTTAAAGCAGCAACGGATAGCGGAGCTGGGGCATCTGGCTGTCTGGGAGGCAGCGACGGCCGGCTGGCTGCATTGTGTTGCTTTGATGACCCCCGCTGTGTAGCTGCCTGCTCATCAACCTCCCTTCTCTCTCTTTCTCTCTCACCCTCCCCTTTCTCTCTCCTCTCTTTCCTCCTCCTCCTCCTCTCTCTCCATCACAGCTCCCGGCCCAGCCATGTTCGGCACTGAGTCCTCATGTAAGTATCATCACCATCCTTCCGTCTGCCCTGTGTTTGTCTTTGTTTATGGACCTTTTATATTCTTGTGTGTGTGTTTTCTCTGAGGATGAGGAGGAAAGGGAATATGCTAGCTTTCCTCTTCTGTTGCGTTCCACCTTTCCTCATCTCCCTCTCCTCTCTTGTCTTCTTCCTGTTTTGCCTCCATGGTTGCTGGTGGCAGATTGCATGGGGAGAAATCTGGGATCTACCATTTTAGCACAGAGGGTCGGCACTACAAGCTAGCTGGACATGCTGACTGAACCGCCTACCCTGTATTCTCTCTGAGCCTTACCGTGTGTGCATTTCAAATTAACACAAAAAAAGGACCTCCCGTCTCTATGCATTTTCTGTCCTCTTCATAGTAATAGCTTGCTCTTTGAATGAACATGTGTTCTTGTGCATGTTTATGTGAGTGAGCATGTCGGAAGATGGATGCTTTGACCAGAGTTGCATTGTCTCCAGAAGCATCAGTCTGCGCTCTGCTTCTTTCTTATGGCTCAGTCAGATCGCTGCGAGGTGTGAGCTTAGCATTTCCTGTCTTAAATGCTACTGAATCAAGCATAGCACACTGCTCTTCTATATGTATGCACGTGTGTCTTTGGACACCGATCAGCCCCTCACCTCCCTCTGAAGTGTTACTAGTGTTGACGTTAAGGTGAGCCAGTGTACTTGTTTCTCCCATTACAGGAATCCTTTTTGCTTAGATCAATACTGTGATGGCTCACTCTACTACCTGCTCATTGTTTTCAGAAGGCCTGAGCTTATGTCATTGATCCTGTCTTGATTGCACAGTCGAGGCTAAAACTAACTTGTTTTGATGTGCGATCATAGCTAGCATGCACACCGGCAATTGCACCAGGAGTGGTTTAGAGCCTAATCTTTGTTTATGAAATGTGCAGCTGATTGGATGACACTGTGCAATATCTTGTAATGGCTTAATGTTGTTGTTGGTGGAGTTTTATTTATTTTTTTAAAGAAATTAAAAGTGGAGATCTTTAGATTTACAATTGCAGGCAGTCATTTTATGAATCAGAAAAGAAGCAATAACAACTTAGATGAAACTTGTGTAAAATATACAACTCCTGCTAATAGTTTAAAGTGTGCTAGATGCTTAACATGTCTGACCTACCTTTGAACATGCACGCCATTTCCAAGGAAACATATTAATGGAAATGTTAGAGCATGCAACATCTGCATTTCCACTTAAATAAATAATACACACATGACTATCAGTGCTTGGTTCATCTGAAATGACTCCAGGTTACAATGGCAGTACGTCTTTAACTGGCAACAATCCTCTGAGGAAGTAAGTGGTGCATCCAAAATGGGGTTATGAAAATGGAAAATACACTTATTTTCCAGTGGAGGGAAAAAAAGTTAATAAATAAGATAACACTCTAGTCATTGCTTTAAAGATGTACAGACCAGTCATGCTTTAGTGCATAGTCAACTCCTGATGGTGCATTTCCATCCAGGGAAAAGCCCTGTAGTGCAGTAGTACTGTCTGATTTCAAATTAAATGGTGTTGTAGCTAACTCCCGCTTTAGATAGTAATTTGTATTTCTGTGCTTCATTACTTTTTCATTAGATGTAATAATTTTATATCAGATGCACAGTTGTTTATGGACACCATTCTACTTGGCTGTAGCAGAGATGGTACCTGTGACCTTTATTTGGCAGCTTCTCCTCGCTGCCCACTATTCTGAGTTCTGTCCCATTTTGACACAGGCCTGCCAGTCTTTCCATTTTGTCATGTCTGCAGTTTGATACAGGTTGGTTATTAAAGCATTACTGCGTGGTTTTTTGTTTGTTTGCTTGTTTTTGTTTGTTATTAAACAGTAACTCAAAGGACATAATGCTGCATTAAATCTACAGCAAATCCATAACACAGACGAGAGGAGGTCAAGTATGAGTATAGTTCTGATCAGTTCACAGGATATGATTATAGGAGATCGTGAGCACAGTGTTTGCATTTCTTTATGAAAGGATGTACACTTATTTGACTGACGTTTTTAAAATTACAAGTCAGAGCTCGCGATCGTAAACATGCCTTGAACAAACACATTTACTAACTGTTGTGCTTTCCTTGTGGTCATCATACTTGGCCACCTGGCAAATTAAACTGAAAGTACTATCATGCAAAATTTGGCCAATCCCACTGATTCTTGTTTGAACAATACTCTCACCAACACAGTGTATATGTAATGTTGGATGTGGATATTCTTATTTCCGCACATCTTTGTAGGAAGTCATTCGTGACTTCTTGGGTGTTTCCTGACAATAAGCACAGACAGACTACAAAAACACAACGTTCATTTGGCTCTTTAGGTTTAAGTAATAAACTCAACAGTGTTTGTTGACATGGTTAACCGGGACCCATTTTTATAGGCTATCCTTTGAAATAGCTTTGTTGTGAAAACGGCTTGGGTCCAACAAACACTGCAACAGGAAATAAACCACGGCAATTTTTAGTGTTTATTCGAAACACTAAAATCGTCTCTGGAAATCCTTTGTGTAAGATCATTTTTATAGGAAACCATCCTGCAATACATGGAATATCTTACTTTATCTCTTATTTTTGGGGCTAGATGAAGCTTTCATAAGGCTTGTCAAGTCCTGCTAAGCTTTCGCAGCAGACTGTGTGGCTGTGAGAAAGAACTCAGGGGTGTCTGATTTGCGTATTGTTCAGAAGATCATCTCCTCTCAAGTAGGTGTAGAAGGTAAGAGGAACAAAAACTTCTAGATAATCCTAATTTAGAGCTCAAATGTAAATGGCTTTATCCTTTTTTTGTTTGTTTGTTGTTGTTTTTTTGTTTTTTTTGCAGTGTTTTACTGTTTTAAAATGAGCTATATTTTGAGACATCGCAGTTAGAGTGACTAGTCTATTTTGAGCTCTGTGCAGCATTGACATTGTAGGTCGGTGTTCAGGTTTGGTGGGAAATGTGCCGAATTGCTTTCTGGCTCTAAAATCTGTTCTCTCTTTCTAATAAGGACAGATGGTAGCAGGAGAGAAAAGCCTGGGAAGTCACTTCCAACATGTTTGTCCTCTTCAGTACAGCAAAAGATAAATGTGCACCATATTTATTGATTCTTGTTATATAAAGTAGAACTAATTTGGCAGTACATGTAGGATAGTATATGGATGTGACAGCTGTAATTTTTCTGTATCTGCTTATTGAACAATCTTCTTTATTTATTTTTACAGTTGAGCAAAAGGAATGTGACTTTATAACAGGTGAACAAATACAGATAAAATATGTGCTAATGCAGCAGAATTCTGTTTAACCAGACTAATATTTTGATATCATGAATTAAATTTTCCCAAAGGTGTTATGGAAGTGTTGAAATATACTGGCAATTCCTCTCAGTTGGATTTCTAAACTTATGGACCCGCAAATATCAACTACTTTGCACACTTCTGTGAACAGTTACCTTGTGTCACAGTCATAAACACACACACACAGATGGGACTCATTTGTACATACGTTTGACCTCAATAGCTGTTACCTTCCTGTCCCCTTCTTTTCAGCAAAGTAGGTTTTAGGTAATGGTAACTGTGTTGTGCCTTCCTTTTTTGCTCTCATTTTGGCCTGTTTGTTATAGGGTGCTGTGAGGAAGTGGTTCAGTAGTTCTACAGTCAGTCTATACTTGATCAGAATTGAGGTCAGTACGTACAGCTTTCTAGATTGTATCACTTCGTTCAGTAGCCTTGAGACTAATTATTGTATGGTGTTAAACTGTCTTAGGAGGACATGATGATCTTATCATGGATGTGAACTCGAAGAAATCAACAGTGGCATAGGACTGTTTCTATTGGCGTTATTATTACTTTAATAGTCCTTGGATTTAAGAAGTAAGAAGTAAATGTCTTGAGACTTACTTTTCTGTGGACACAGAAACCATGGACAAACAGTGATTCTTGTTTACAACTTTTTTTTTTTTAAATCTCCATGGATGTCCATATGGAGTATTGTGCTCACCATCACTGACTTGGAGAGACAGTTGACAGACTACACCAATTATAGCTAGCTTTCACAGTGACATTTCTGGTATGTTACTGTGACGGTATGTAAGGAACAAACTGTTGGAAACAGGAGTGTAGATAAACTAACACTGGCTGTCTTGTGTTGATGTAGACGAGAGACTCTGGGTCCTTTTCAAAAGAGTGTTCGCTCCATTACGGCGTGTGCAGAAGAGCGATTTGGGCATTCTTTTGGTCAATATTACAGTGAATGTAACAAAAAAACCAAGCAAACATGTAGATGTAGGATATGCTTATAAGTAACTATGACACAGTATAGATAACTTTTTCCCCCTTGATATTTTTTTTTTTTTGTTCAGATGCTCAGATATGTCTTTTCCTATGTTTCGAACATTTGTAACGTTACCTTGTGTCTCGCATAAGTAGCGTACATGCAATGCTAACTGTAAGAACATATTAAGCCTGCAAAGATTTTCTCCCAGGTTAATTGATTGTTTATCGATCTAAGTTCATGGTAAGTTTGAGTATATATATGTGATCAATACTTTCAGGGTGAATTGTGAACCTTGGCAGCTGTTTGTTTGGAGCATTTCTTCAACATAAAACACAGGGATAACCATTAGACATGATGACTTACAGAAAAAAACAAATGGGGGAAAAATGGCTTGAAGTGTTATGGTAGCTGAATTGCAGAAGGCATGAGCATTTTTTTAATTTATTAAGGACACACTGATGCCAGCTGAATAATTTCACCCTCAAATAGATGACCACAAAATGCTGATTTGCTGGTTTCAAACCAGTACTTCTTTAAAAGTGCTGTTCAGACAGTTTTTATCTTTTAAAGGAAGCCTGAGAAACCAGCAGATAAAGGACAAACACATGAGCCTCTGTATAAAACACTGATAAAAGACTGGCACGAAGGGAAAATGTGAATTTTGTGTTGCTACCACTTCACAAATACCTCAGTGTTTCTATAAAATTGAAGCTAATCATTAAA